CGGGTCTGGCCTAGGGAGAATTTTAAATAGGGACAATTTTTAATTAGAATTTTAATGTTAACACAGCGCTTAAATATTTGTTTTTAATTGGTTTTTATTGGGGATAGTGCCTGTATTGTTTTAATATGCTGTAAGCCGCCCTGAGTCCTGTTGGGAGAAGGGCGGCATATAAGTTTAATAAATAATAATAATAATAATAATAATAATTAATAATAATAATAATAATAATAATAATAATAATAATAATAATAATAATAATAATAGTCAAAAAATATCACAACTATTGAAACACTTACAAATATAAAAACAATATATTTTTATTTCACACATATGTGTGCGTAATTAAAAAGAAAAGATCGCCGGCTAGTTCTTCAGTGGTAGTAGGAAGTCAAACCTCTCCCTACAAGAAACCACTCCTTGCAATCAACGCTTACAAAATGAGTTCTTCCGCGCCGACGCAAGCAAAAAAAAGTAAGAAAGAATTGTGCGCGCCTGCGCTTGAGCAAAGGCATGAGCCTCTCTGGTGCTCCTGGCCCAATGCGCCCGCCTTTCACCTAACCAATCAGGAAATCGCAGGCTGCCTTTCCCAAGAGTCTGCCAGGGAAAGCGCTGCGCAGGTCTCTCCGACGGCCGCGCGCGCTTCTCGATGACGCCGCCGCTGTTTCTCCAATCCCGGAGATTCGGGTGGCTGCGCTCGTGCTAGCGTGTGTCTCGGGAAATCCGGACGCCTTCCCTCGTGAATGTATTTATGGATGCATCGGGCGCAGAAGTAGCAAGCGTGCTTATGGCTAGAGTGAGGAGGTGAGGGGGGGGGGCGCGCGCAGGCGGGTCAAGGGCCTTGAGCGCGAAGAAGCCTGTCACCGGGCCTTGAGCGGAGATCGTCTGAGGCAAGACCGAAACGTAAAAATTGGGCGGGGGGCACAGTGTGTAATTTATATTGGGGTAGAGTACTTGCCGTGCTCCTGTCCTGGGGACCGGAGGAGAGCCCTGTTGGATTACACCACAGGGTTCTAAATCCAGATTTCTAGAGTGATAAATGTCTTCGGGAAGTCTGCAAGTGAGGTATAAAAAGGTAACAACCTACCTTCAGTGTTCGTCTCCAGCACCTGGAATTCAGGATATGCTGCTACTAACCCGAAGTAATTAATTGAACAGTTACAATTAATAGCCATTCTTGAACTTGTATGCAAGGTGGTATGATGCAACAGTGACCAATAGCTTAGCCTAAGCAGTAGGTGAATGTCTGTCTTTCAGTATATACTTAAAAAAAGAAAAAAATGCCCTTTTAGGTCTCATATCTTCTAAAAAAGCTAAATTATACCCTATCTAAAGCAATTTCCCCCAGTTGAATACCCTCTCAAAGTGCTCTCAGCATTTTGTCTGGAATTATGAAAGTTATTGGGAATTTTTAAGAGTACAGTAGATGCTAGGTTACAAAATAGTAAAGAAAGGGCATTGCTTTTTCTGTTAGTCTCCTTAGCAGTTTTGGACTCTTGCCCCTTAAAAAAAAAAAAAAGGATTGAAGGATTTTCCCCACCACCACCTTTGTAAAAGTAGATGCTGAAGCAACTTTCAGGATACAGCAGAATAATAGAATAACAAGAGTTGGAAGGGGCCATGAAGGTCTTCTAGTCCAACCTCCTGTTCAAGCAGGAGATCCTAGATCAGCGATGGCAAACCTTTTAGAGACCGAGTGCCCAAACTGCAACCCAAAACCCACTTATTTATGGTTGGGTGCTGAGTGGGCTGGTTGGGTGTGGCCCATTGGGTGAGTGTGGCTGCCATGGTAACGGCAGACTGGATGGGACTAAAAAGTTCAATCAATCAATTTCAACTTTGCAAGATCTATTTTTCCCCCCGCGAGAAGTTGAAATTGATTGAACTTTTTTTTCTTTTTTTTTGCACACGGGTACGAAGGCCTAAAGCGAGAAGGTTTTATAAAACCCAGCTGAAGGCCTAGGACTGGGGTGATGGCGTGGGTGCCCACAGAGAGGGCTCTGCGTGCCACCTGTGGCATGCGTGCCTAAGGTTCGCCACCACAGTCCTAGATCATTTCAGACAGATGGTTGTCCGATCTGTTCTTGAAAGTGATGGAGCACCCACAACTTCTGAAGGGAAGCCGTTCCACTGATCAAATATTCTGTCAAGAAATTTCTTCTTATTTCTAGGTTGGTTGGCTCTCCCTGCAAGGCAATTAATATACTTATGTGATACTTTGTTGATGATATTCAAGTATATTTCTCTCCAGTAAAATCATTGTATTGGCTATCTAATGCAGGCTTTTAAAACATTCTTTTCTTTGTCTGATATGATATAGCAGGCATGTCAAACTCACGACGTCACGTGACATCGCACAACGTATCAGGCCAGTTTTGCCATTGCCGGCAATGGGGTGGGTACGGCTTCCACATGACACGTCCAGCCCGCTTGTGAAGGGGGTTGGACTAAAAGATCTCCACGGTCCCTTTCAACTCTGTTATTCGGTTATTCATGCTTAAAAATAGCAAGCATCCTTTGCATGAAGGCAAACACTTATGAGCATGAAGTGGTCATAATTAAATTCACTTTATCAACCAATACCCTCCACATATGGTGAAGTTGTAGGTTAACCAATCTGGAGGAGACCAGCTAGCAAAGGATAACTTACAGTATATTTGCCACACCTATTCTGATGGAAAAGAAAAGAGGAGCAGTATATCATATAAGAAATATATATATATGTGATATACAAAGTAAAAATTAAGATATAAGTGTCTAGAATTGGGAAGAGCATCTGACTACATCCCTGTTCTATGATTGGTATTGGTGTATGACCTTGGCTTTTATAGCCAAGAATGAAATGTATGACTTTAAAGCTGACAGTGATATATATGTGATCGTATCACAAGATATTTGGAGGTCAAGACCACAGAAATATGCTTTAGTTGGAATAGAAGCTAGGATGCCAGTAAGAGAAAGGGAGGGAAAGATCAGTCTGTGCACAATTAGACATTGAACCATGACCACACAATAAATGTTTAATTGTTTTGAATAATATATTCATATCCTTTTTATTACAAATGATTTATAAAGTTTTTCTTTCCAGATTGCTTATTTTCACTGCAATTATTAAGAATTATAGAGGTAACTCTGAAGTAGTACAAAAAGTTTTCCTGAAGAAACTTGCTTGAAAAAGAGTATTTGCATATTAGAAGGGACTGGAGTGAGAGTATTTGGAAATATATATGAAGAACAAACTCTAGTTGCATTTTTAAATAACTCAATTGGTATGTGTTTGCAAACTTCCAAGCCTAATTGTTTATTCTTTAGGATAGATCCATGAAATCTTATTGCTGGCCCAGTCTTAAGGAATCTGACTGAAATTTGGAATCTATTGTGATATGAAGAGACCTTATTTTAAGTAAAGCAAATATGCACTATTACCTTTCCCCCTTTCTCTACTTGTTTATGCAACCTAGAATTCCAGGTGAAAGCAAGTTTAGCTATTAAAGCACTAGGTCACGCCGAATTAATTTTTGACTTTGGCTTTAATTATCATAGTTTTTCCTAGAAAAGCTAGAGAAATGGAGTTTGATCACTATATTGAGGATTTTGATCAGAAGGCCTCTTTCATTCGTCTCATAGATACTCTTTCAAGTTTTTCTTGGAGGGGAGGGTAACTAGAGCACAGGTGACATAACCACTCTTACTCAGGGAGTAACAGTGTAATACAATTCTACATTGTCTTTGACATACTTGATCAATGTTGGGTTCAAATATTTTTTTACCAATTGAGTTGGAGCTTCTGTCCAAAAATATAAATTTACCTTACTATATAGAAAAAGAAAACCATATATTAGGATCTAGTTGTAAGCAGTTTCTGTCAGCAATAGGTTTTACACATCTTGCTAAGCCATAATTTATGATTTTATCACAGGTAAATCTAGTCATTATGGCTATGAACCATGGTATATGAGTTAGCATGTTATATGAATCCAATCAGTGGTATTTGTTCAGTTAATCATAATTAACAATCCATAGTTTAGTTTATGACAGCCACACCCATTCAATGATATATATCAATAAGCATTTTAATATGGAGATTATATACATACATTTTGCCTGATATGCAGTCTTTTATGCAGGTTGTCATTATCATTCCTCTATGTTGAAAAGTAGTTAACCAATTTGCCTGTTTGTAGTCAATAAAAAACAGGAAATTTGGTTTTTTTTGTTTGCTAGCAGATTGCAACAGAAGAGAGATTAAATGATGAAAGTTAAAGCTGTCTAAGTCAGTTATATGACAATCAGCCCAACCTATACTTCTCAATGAATCTATTTCTATGCACAAACTTGGTTTATGTTAAACCATTTTTGTTTATGGGGTTTGGGTTCTGTAGCATGCTAAACCAAGAAACGTATCATGAAAGCTTTGTCAACTGAAGCATAAGCAATTAGTATATTATACTTGAAAATCCAAAGTTGAACATCCAACAATTGAAAGAAGTTGTGCTTGAAAGGGTAACATGAAGAGAGCACTTGCCTATAAAATCACCAAAGGTCAGACACAACTAAATGGTTAAGGTAATACTTGGAAATCTATATTATGGACCAAGCATGCAATGGGGAAAGCCCATTGATATCTTAGAAATAATCACAGGCCACAGAGGAGTAGCTGGTGTGCTGGTCAGCTAGTGGCCTGGTGCAGCAGCAGCAGCACCAGTGGAGCTTGGCGACTCATAGCAGCCTGTCCTTGAGAGTGGAAATGGCTGTGAATAAGTAGGCAGCAGCAAGATGGGTGTTGGGTGGCAATGGATTTGTTAATGGATTCAAAGCAACTGACAAGACACACAGGGCTGCTTGGTGGGCCACATGTTGTGAAGGCCTGTTATAGATTATGGGATTATAGCAACAATTTCTCATAGGATTATTATGGACTGGGTTTTGACATACATTTTTGTTGATAGACTTCACTGAAAATATCTCAAAGCCATGTGCCTCTTGTTCCTCTTCCTAGATATGGGCAGTAGAAATGGGTGACAAGCAGTGTGGGGATTGTACCACTTGATGCCACTTTAATCTCTGTGGAATTCTGTTAAAGGTTCAGCACAAACATACAGCTAACTGAAAGTGATAGGGACCAATGAGGCTTAACATCTGAGGAGAATCAAGATGGCAGCTGTTTACCAAGCTCTTGAAATGTGATCACGTGATGACCAATCATAAGTTTGAGGACTGGTTATAAGTAACTTTTTTTGAATCTATCATAATTTTGAATAGTCATTAAGCAACCAGTCATAAATTGAGGACTACCTGCACTGAATATGGAATTGCTGCTTGTTTATGCATGGAGAACTGGTTTAATGCGGTGGTGTTGCATGTTTCTTTTACGTAACACTACATAAATGCAGTAAGTGTGTGCCACGCAGATTAGGGGGGGGAAAGGATCCATGCTAAGGCAGTAGGTTAGACTGAAGCAGAATTATCCCACACGCTGCAATAGCATGGGAGAATATGGTGGTAAAGTTCAGTTACAATAGCAGTAAGGCTAGCAAAAAGAGAAAAACAAGTATGTAAGAGTGTCAAATTATTGCATAACTTGTTTTAAACAGTCACTATGTGGATAGCAAGAGATAAAAATTATAATCGGTCAAATGAACAATCTGGCAGTTGAGGAAAACAAAGTAAAGGTTGGATGACCTTGCCACATCAGAAATAAATACAAGAACGAAGTGTAAATGCAGTCTTGTAATTACCAGTGGGAATTTGTGACTGGATCTCTTTCTTTTCAAAATTCAGTGTTCTGCCCCATGCTGACTTGCTTCTCAGTTTTAATGGCTTTAAAGATAGAAGAGTCTGACCTCAGGCTGTGTTAGTGAAATGGCTTTCATGCTTATTATATGGAATTACTGTTAAGCATGTCTGTCTCTCCTATTTGCATTTTTAGCCACAAACACCTGATGCATACTTCTGATATTTAATGGCTTATTCTGCAATCCAGCTATTTTTATTCAAAATAAAAAATACCAGATATTCCAAATGACCTAATAGTATTATTGTTGGAAGCTAGGCAAACGGAGCAGCTTTATTTGAAATAAAGTGAGGTGACGTATTACACTTTTATCCTGTGCTTTCTGCAAGTTGCTCAGACACTGCTGCTTATCGTTGTTAAGCTGGCATCATTATGCCATCTTCTGAGAGGCTAAATGTCTCAGAAGGGAGGCCTCTCCCATTTCTGTATCTGTGCAGATAATAGTCCTGTCAACTGAGAATGAATTCAAAAGAATACCTCCAGCGCATGATTGCTGCAAGTCTGTACTGAAATCTAAAGCTTTTGTGCAAGGGGTATGCATCAATATTTTCTGAATTCATTTATATTATTCTTGCATAAAGTAAATACTTTCAATAAAGGAGAATATTTATAGCTCAGGGTTGAAATGAGGGGTCCTTGGTGCTCTCTGAGCTTGATTGTTGCAGACGTTTCATTACCCATTCTAGTCTGACTAGCACTGATGATGGTACTTAGTTTGGGTAATGAAACATCTACAAGAAAACAACCAAGCTCAGAGAGCACCAAGGACCCCTTAGTAAATACATTCACTGTAATGCAAATGTCATGTTCATAACAAGGTAAAGCAAAATGTATTTTTGAAGATCATGGCTGCAACCTCCATTTAATTTTGAAGCAAGACCCTGTAGATTTAAGTTACATTGCTTCTGAATAAATTTCTTACATTTCTTTTGAATAAATATGGACAAGATTGCTTTGACACTGATTAGAACAAACTGGATGTAAACAGTGGGATACAATAGTTATTTTATTGTAGTTGCCTATAACTCTTTATGAGACCCACATTCCTTGCATGTCCTGGTTTTCCTCTTGGTGGTACAGTCTTTTGCTTTCAGAATGGCTTTAACTTTTTTCCCAGGTTGTAGAAGACCATTTAATAAATTGTTTTCCTGTTTTTGCTTCTTTCATCCTTTGTTGTGATTATCCATCAGAGGTGGGAATCTTACAAACTGCACACGACTCCAGCATCCTGATATTGTATCTCTATATTGTGACAGCAAAAGGGTTAAATTTCAGTACCATGATTTCTGCTGTGCTTTTCAGAATTTCAGGTAGTTCAGGCATCCACTAAAAAGGACCAAAAACGTTGAGCTACATCCTTTCAAATGATACTGCAAAATTGCTAGATAGCTTCCTAAGACCACTCAGAAGGTCAGAAAGTGGAATGGCAATCTTGAATCCTCAAACTTTGGTCACATCTGCTTTATATGTTAATGTAGGATTTTCTTAATGTCAGTGGTTTAAATAATGCATCCAGATGCTTAGATACTTGAATCTCCACATATCAGGTCAGGCCCAAGAACAGTATAGAACATTTCAGCCAACGTGTTCTTTATTTGCTTATATCCAATAGACAGAATCTTGCTAGACTGTGCTGTTTCTAGGAATGGCTATCCTAATTCTCTGTCTACAATTTAGTTGTGTTGCCTCTTGTCTTGGCCTCCCCCTTGAAATGTACTCCATCCTTCCTGGGAAACTGCCACTTCACTGTAATCCATCATACCACCTTCCCTTCTGTAGGTACCATCTCTCACACCAAAAATGATCCTGCTTTTATTGTAGAAAATGTGGGTACAAGGATTTTGTGATTACAAATTTAAAGTGGCATTATCATTAAGAATATAATGTATTCTATAGGAGCATGATGGCTCGTCTGGTAAGGTTGGATGTTAGCAAGCCTGCATTCAAAGCCTGAGTGGAGTGCTGCTATGGGGAAGGATGACCTCCCATCCTTCACAACTCCTTGACGGAGACATGAAAGGAGCCCCAACTGGGTGTCCCCCAGGCAATGATGATGTCACCCAGAAGTGCCTCAGTGCTTCTGACACGAATGCAGTGTGATGTTGTATTTTGTATAGGTGAGCAGCACAATGTCTGAAAATTCGTCTGTGAAGCTGGCGGGCATCACTCCTCTGCAGCAGATGTTGGCGTCTGGGACTGGAGCCCTTTTCACCTCCCTTTTTGGTAGGTACATTGTTAACAGCAGTATCATTTGAAATAATTTAAAATATGTGCACGCATGTAAAAAAATGTGTACGGGTAGTCCTCAGATTACAATAGCTCTTGGGACTGGAAATTCTGTTGCCAAACAACCCAGTGGTAAAGTGCAGTGTTACTTAGCAATGGCAATTTCAGCAGTCCTGGTTGCTATTTTTAAATGAGGACCATGCAGTTTGTTAAATGAGGACCTCATGTGATCACAACTTCCTGCCATCTTCTCTATTGATTTTGCTTGTGGGAAGGAAAGCAGAAAATATTGGAAATTGTGATCATGTGGCTGTGGCTCACTGCAACATCATACCTGTGAGCCAGGCACTGAGTTCCTAGGTTGTGATCATGTGATTGCAGAGATGCAGCACTGATTAGAACTCTGAGGACACACACATTCCTTAAGTCCCCCTTAAATTCAGCGTAGTCATAACTACAAGTGGTTTTTGTAACAAATAGATGTAACCCGAGGATTATCTGTAGTGACAAAAATATGCAGACTGAATTTCTTTGTGAGAATTGAATTATTCTGATAGTGTTCCTGATGTTTGCCCACATTTCTGTAACTTAGCCCTGCTGATCACCAAAGCCTAGATTCTCAGTGTTGTGACATAATAAAAGTAGCCAAGTGTTTAAACTATTGTGCAGAAGTGATCTGTATATTGTCAACTAATCCCTTAGCTATGTGGTTAGAATTATATAATTTGGCTTTAACATTGATTAATATAGTTGACCATTGTTAGGGACCGCTTTTTCAATTAAAATATTTATATAGATAATAGGAAGCTTATGGCTTATTAAATAGTATTGGATTTCAATTCCCATCATTATTAACCAATGTGGTTAATGTGTAGCATATTGGAAGTTGTGACTGAGCAATAGAGAGGCTATTGATTCCTTACTATTCCCATGTGATATTTGGGAATTTGATTAGTATATCATTTACTAAAGATAGATGGATGGACGGACAAATAGACAGACAGACAGACAGACAGAAAGACAGACAGACAGACAGACAGATAGATAGATAGATAGATAACTTTTATTGTCATTTTTTCACTGTGGGCACAATGGCATACATTAAAAATGAAATTTAGTTGCTCTCAAAGTGTACACATATTTACACACATTTAAATATACTATATACAACATATGTATAGACCTACACCCTTACATATAAGTAACATATAAATATTAATCATTGTCCATCTTGAATACATAACGGAAGGAGGAAGCTTTAGAGTTCACAAGGTTAATACAATATGGAACAAAACTGTGACTGAATCTGGATGTTCTGCTTCGGATACCACGAAGCCTCCTCCCAGAAGGTACCAAGGAAAACAGGTCGTGAAGAGGATGTGTAGTATCCCAGACAATGGTTAGGATTGTGTGGAAGGTTGTGGTGGGATACATGAAACAACTATATGGATGGGAACGTACCTTTCATACAATAGGGAGACTAAATGCAGGCATATTCCTACTTCTGACTTGAGATTTATACTTGAATCCAAGGAAGAGTTTGGGAGGAGCTTTATTTAATTTCAGAATTCTCTTTTCCATATTATTTATCCAGAAGATTCCTTCTTTTATTCTCCACTGTGAATGAATTTCATTAATGTAAACTTTATATTTTCTTATTTATTTTTTTAAATTTCAAAAACATTACAGTTAGCATTAGATGCCTCAGTACTTTGTGATATTAAGTGTCTGTATAATAATAGTGTGTAGTTAATTTTAGGCGCACATGCATATACATATCATTATGCGAGATATATAAGACTATTAACATAACTTTTTTCAACATAATTCAGATTTTAAACAATGAATTAAATGTAGACAGAATGGAATCATATTGTCTTTAACAACTATTATTGTATAGGTCACATGATAGCATATCAGGTGGTTGGCAACCGGCTTGCAGCTATGACCAGTTGCAGCCTCCAGTGGTCATGTGGTACCTCCACTCACGACTACTTGGTCTTCCATCTTCATATTCTTTGTCAGTATCTTTGTTTCTTCCGTGTTTTAAATCCAGCCAGCGCAACCAGATTCTCTTAGTTTTTCCATTAATACATCTATCCCTCCTAGACAGCTCTCCAAATTTAGAACCAAATGATTGATGAGTGCCATTAGTTTACAGACTTCACGAAAGAATAACAATGGAGAAGAAGGTACATATCCTTGCTTCATTCCTTTCTATATTTCACAGGACTTGGTCAATTCTTCATTCACAATTATTTGTGATTTTTATGAAGCATACATCGTTTTCACTCATGTAAATAAATTTTTGTTCAGAGTTCATATCTTCCAAAATTTTAAACAGAAAAGTTTAAATTGTAAAAAGCTTTTTCTCCATTAATAAACATTAAGGTAGCTTGTTTTCGTTGTGTTGCTCCAACTATTCTAATACATTAAGAACATTTCTAATTCTTTCTCTTAAATGTCCTTTAGAAGGCCCAGATATATCTAATCACTACTAGTGTGGGAAAAATAATCAAATACCTACTATTAGTACTAAGAACTTGCTAGATGGCAAGGATAATAGATAATAGCTCTCAGACTGTGTCTCAGGATTACATATTCACTATTTGTTCTATTTCAGTCCTTGATTGAGTTTAACAAATAGGCCCAATTATATTATTTACAATCAGGAAAATTAAAACGCTCATAATTGTAAGAAATATATAAGGAGATCTTGGGTATATGTTTGTTCTTTAAAAATGTAATAATTATAGATAGTTCTCACTTAACTACCATTATTGCACCTGGAATTTTGGTCATAAGCGATTACAGTTATTAGGTAGGTCACGATATGAACTGACTGAATTTTACAACTGATTTTATGACACTTGTAAAGTGAGTCACCATGGTTGTTAAGCGAACTACATGGTCGTTAAATGAATCCATTCTCATGAATGGGTGTTTTTTCCCCCCAATTGGACACTTGCAAAAAATGATACAAATTGTCATGTGATCATGGGACACTACCAATTGCCTGTAAATGCAAACTGGTTGCCAGCACCCAAAATGCAGTCATATGATTATAGGGGAATGTGCAGCAGTCATAATTTCAAGGGCAGATTGTAACTTAAACAAGGATTGCCCATATCAGTTGTTTAAACATGTTTAAATAAAACAGCAAAGGCATTGCTATCAGTTTCATAGTTTGATGTAAAATAAATTTTATGACATTAATTTTTCTGTCAAAAGTATTTTCTCTTAATATCCTCCTTCATCTGGATAATACATTTTGAAATGTTACTGTGAATCAAACTGAGAACCTTGTTAAGAATAATAACTATTTAATAATAATATCAGTCTATTGAAACGGAAGCTTTACTTGATGTCTTGCAACAATACTTTTAACACCATCAAACAACATCTGCTCTCCAAGGTCCTTAGAAAGGATTCAGTAGGTGGGTAAAAATGTCAAATCCAGTCTAAACATCTGGCTGACCATGTAATTAATATAATAAGTTCTGCAAATATTGAAAACCTACCTCTTTTCTCTATTGCTTCTTTCCAATTACCATAATATTTACTTAGTCCAGTTTAAATAGTATATTTTGTAGTTTTTTTCTTGCTTAAATATAAATATGTTTTTCTGTGAAACATTTCCCATTGAATCTACAAATACATGCCCAAACTGTCAAAATTTCCAATTAGATTGATATACCATTGAAACATGTATTTCCCCAAGGCAGTATTCCTGGAGGTCTTCCTCATTTTCTTCCCTCTGTTTGGTTTTCAATATTTTAAACAAAACAAAAAATAAAGACATATGCATGTATAGTGAGTGGGATTCATTTAGATGTAAAGCTGGGCCAACCAATGCTATGAGTCCCGTAAAAAAATAGGTTATTAAAATTATTGCAAATATCCCCAAATCTTACAAGAACTAACCAGGTTTGCACAATATCTATGATTGTTGAAATTCTGCAAAATCTGGTGATATTAGTTACAGTTTGCAACAAAGTTAAAAACATTAAAAACAGTAACTGCATTTTGGAATACCATGAATATCTCATTAGTGTGTCCTGATACTGTATAAAGGAAACTTTTTCTCTGGCCTGTTGACTGATATGTTTTTGTGGAGTTCTTCTGCGAGGGGAAGGGGAATGAAGGCCCTTTTATGACTTGTGGACTTCAACTCCCAGAATTCCCGAGCCAGCCAGTCCCCAAGTCATAAAGGGGACATTGTTCCTCACCTCTGGACTAGGCAATTAACCAAACTGTATTCCATAAAAAGCAGGACAAGAAGCACCATGCCATTTTTCCATTTCTAAATTGGTGCTGATATCAGCACCAATTTAGTTTCAAGTGTATAATCACCAAGAATATTTAAATAAGCTCTTTGTTTATTAATTTAGCATTAGTGTGTATAAATATGGAAAGCATGAAAAAATACAACAAAATGCAACTCAGCATACCTCCAATGAGCATTCCAACAACATAGGGTTGAGTGAGTTTTTGTCATTCACATTATTGACTCAGTGAAGTTTGTTTCTATATTCTACTCATATATGAGTTGAATTGGATGATAAATTTTGCTATGTTACCTACAGTTTTTTGCCAAATTCCAATATGGTAGGTACTTCCTTTAGTACAAAAGGTACACCTTCTATTAAGTAAACTTATTTCAGCAGAAGTGTGGCTGAATAGTATTTACAAAGCTCGGAAGATAAGTTGCTACACTTTTTAATGTTACATGGAGGATTAGAGGCATTACAGTATGTGAATATTCTTCCTATTTACTGTTTGTTTTTCTCCTCTCCCCATTGTACTTTTGTGGATAGCAAGAGAAAAGAAGGATAATTTTTGCAATATTGTCATTGTAGTAGATCACCCTTCTCCAAATTATTTTCCTTCAAATGTCAGAATTCCTCGTCTTTGACTATGTTGGCTGGAAATTCTATGGTACATCCAAAGAGGACCAGACTGGAAAAAAGCCGTATCACATCCATAGGCTTTACAGAGATGTTATGAAGGATTGTGTATCATTTAAAACTTCTTTTCCAATACAAACCCCACTTGGTCCTGAACAATACATTTTTTTAGTGCTTTGACATGCTATATTGCTTAAGTTTCACATAATCAACCATTTCAATACTGTGTTTTCAGTCACACCTTTGGATGTAGTGAAAATCCGATTGCAGGCTCAGAGAACCCCATTCTCTAAAGGTAAGTAATTACTCCTTGATTACAGAAGGAAAAAAATATGTTATTGTGGGAATATTCTAACCTACAGAGACTTACTCATGTTCAGGACAAACATACTGCTGCAAGCCATTTGTAGCAATTTAGAGTTTAGGTTGTATTGTATATTTATATGATCTCTCAACCCATCAGAAGTGCTATATAGAATCAGATGAATAGCCTGTCCAGTCCAGTATACTTTTCTTATGGTTATCAGCAGACATGTTTGGAAAAATCATAAGCAGGTTCATCAGTAGCAAACTCTCAACAATTACCTGCTGAGGGAGGTATTTTGGCATTATACATGACTACAATATAGTAATTGGCTGCTTTTCTCTCTGCAAATTTGTCTAATCCAAGTTGATTACTATCACTGAAGCAAATGGTTTAATTATCATTTTGTCCTTTTAAAAAAATTCTCTCCCTATTCTCTTGCTTGGAAAAGCTTTCTGTGCTTTAAAAGATCAGCACTTTCTTGTTATAGTAGCTTTTTTATATGGGCTGCATCTAGATTCTAAAATCATATTGTGCAAGACAACTGTACTAACTGCATTTTTTTGGATTTTAAGACTAACTTTCAAGAAGGGCACCACTAGTGTATAAATGGGGCTGACTTGAGGGAAGTGTATTTTTTATTGCAGGGGATCATGGTGAGCAGATTTATAATTTTTATCTCCAGTTTATATTTTTATCCAGGCTTGGATAAAATTGTTTAAATCTTTCTATAGCTAAGACATTATTTTCTTGTACATCTCTTTCTTCAGAGGGGTGTCCATTTGCTGGAAGATTTATAGAGGTTTTCAGTTCTTAATCAGGCATGGGTCACACATTTTCAAACTTATCACCGTAAGCCACAGGATTTAGACGTGTGTTTAAAAAGAAGAAACTTAGCTGGATGGACTCATCAGCATCTGTATTTTTTCTGCAATCAAAAAGAAAAGGAGAAACACCCAATATAATAAATTACCTGGCGTTTTTTCATTCCTCCTGTTCCAGCTGAAGCTCCCGAAGAACAACCCCTATAGGCAACTGTTTCTCCTTCCTAATCCCAATTGTCATTAAGTGTGTCCATGTTGTTTCTTTCAGTGTTGTCAGTACAGTCTATGCCCTGGAGCATTCACCAGCCCAAATGTGAGTATTTCAGGTGCTTTCCCATTTAAGGTGCCATGATCACCTCTCCAACTCTTTTCCTGTTCTCACTCCCAAAGGAGTGTTATAGGTTCTTAGTCCTTCCCCTCCTTCCTCACTTATGTAGGAGAAAATGTTCATATTCTTTATTCCTTGAGAAATTTGCATTCATTTGTCTGCAATAGAAAATAAATGACAATGCAGTTTTACTGATTTTGTTCCCTAATGTTTAGGACTACAATTCCAATAATCACTTAAGTCATTAACGGTGATGGCCTGATGTTTGATAATAGGAAGGCATTGCTGCAATGTATCGACTGGATTGAAAATCAAGAGGTTTTTGATATGAACCCTGGTTCTGCTGAAAATTACAAAGTGGTCTTAGGCGAGCTACTCTAGTAGACTTGGATCCCATAACTAAGATTTTAGAGGCAAAGATAATAGTATCCTACTAAATGGAATTATTGTAAGGAACTCTGAGACATTTATACATACCAACATACACACATGGATCAATCATGATAATATGTTATCAAAATAATGGTGGAAACCAGGGTTCCATATTTAGTTTAACTCTTGAGCTGGTTAAACTTCCAAATGGCATATTACAGATAGTCTTTGATTTACAATTATTCTTTTAGTAACCATTTGAAGTTACAACAGCAGTGAAAAAAGTGACATGACTGTTTTTCGCATGACTGTTGCAGGACCCTCTTGATCTTGGATGTTTGGCAGTGCCCTGAGGTCATGTGATTGCTTTTTGTTATCTGATAAGCAAAGTCAATGGGGAAGCCAGATTCACTTAAGAACCATGTGGCTAGCTTAATAACACAGTGATTCACTAAAGAATTGTGGCAAGAAAGGTTGTAAAATGGGGCAAAATTCACTTAACACCTGTCTTGTTTATCAAATGGGAAATTTGGATTCAATTATGATTTTAAGTTGAGGACTACCCATATATTATATGAGCTGTGGTGGCACAGTGGTCAGAATGCAGTATTGCAGGCTGACTCTGCCCACTGCCCTGAGTTCGATCCTGATTGGCTCAAGGTTGACTCAGCCTTCCATCTTTCCGAAGTCAGTAAAATGAGGACCCAGATTGTTATGGGCAATATGCTGACTCTGTAAACTGCTTAGAGAGTGCTGTAAAGCAGAATTCCTCAAGCTTTCCGAGTTGGCAGCCCGGGGGGGGAGGGGGAAGAAAGAGAGGATGGTTTTGTGGGAGGGAGAGGCACACGCATGAGCACCTGTTGCTTGTGTAAGTGGGGCCGCGAACACCCATGACACTTGCACGAGTAGGGCCCGAGTGCCCGCAATGCTTTGCCAGTGGGGCTGTGCACACCAAGGGCACCAGCCAGGCACTCACACGGCCCAGTTGCAAATAGGCCACAGACTGGTAGTGGGCCGTGGCCCACACTTTGGGGATCCCTGCTGTAAAGCTCTACAAAGCAGTATATAAGTCTTAACTGCTATTACTATTATTATCAAAAACAAAACTGAAAAAAATAATGAAGGAAAAGTAAACTTGAGTGCAAGTTCTGAATTAGAAAGCTCAATGTGTAGTGATTGATCAGGTCGTGAAGGTTAGTGAAAAGATTCCAACTTTATCTGGTAATCTCAGCAATGGCATAATTGGGACAGCCATTGTGTCAGAGCTGTTAACTGCGCAGTAGAAGGTTGCTGACTGCTTTGTCTGTCTCTTAAGATCTCAGCAAAATCAGCTATTATAAGTTAATATCTATAGCATGGGTGTTCAACTTTTTGGCTTGCCTTGGCCACATTGAGGGGGAAGGGATTGTCTTGGACCACATATAAAATTACATAATATAGTTAATGTATATAAATCACAAAATAAAAGTTAAAAGTTTATGATCTTGTGGCCACATTACTAGCTGTACAGGGTCACATGTGGCCCATGGCCATGGGTTAGACTTATGATCTGTAGGGAATGAAAGTGGGAGAAAAGAGTCATCCAATACGCAAAATATATGCAATACAGCCGGCAGGAAAGGAAATAGCTTCTTTGAAAATTCTCATTAAATGAAAATCTTGCAGTTAGGTACCATATTGTAAGAAAGGGTTTACCCCAAAACTTTCTGATTCCTCATCTAATTTAAGAAAAAGTATTTTTCAGCCTTGAATCAGGTTGTATGTGATTCTGATATTAATTTCAGATATAAGAGATCAGTTAAAAATGTCTGGTAGAAGAAATCTATCTCTTTAGTTGGCAAAGAAGAGATATTAAAAATGTATACTTCAGCCCTGTTGTTCTTCAGCCTCCAATAGGTTACCCCTGAGGGAATGTCTCCTTCCCCTGTAGTAGTTTAAGAGCTGATCAGCTTATTTTACTTGCTGTAATCTAGGCAGTAGAATCTACATAGATTCTCTAATCCTATATACAGTAAACTAGGACTTTTTAATTTCTAAGGCACCATACTCTTTCAAAGTAGAGTCTTCCTTTATCTATTCTTCTGAGTAGAAGATTTGTAGCTTCTTCTCTTCCTTGATGCAATTCCTTAATGGGAGAGACACGTGATTGGATCAGTGTGCATTTTGCATTCAATATCTTCCTGCAAATTTGCATTCTCTGATCAGAAATAATTATGCCAAATATCTTCCCAAATGTTAAGATTTTGCTCAGAAAAATCTTGCTCCATGATCTGACATTTTAGAGATTTAATTTTTACTTTCTTCTTTCATTTTCATTGCCAATATAGGAAAGGGAAACACTATAGAAATGTTTATATTTTTTTTGGTAATCAGGTAAACTAGAATGCTTTAATGAAAAGCTGAGTCTTTTGTATAGATGGAACTAGTAAGTCAAGTAGCACAGAAAGCATTCATCACTGCATGTAGTGATAATGGGTAATTATTTCTTCTCTTTTCCATCTCCCAGCCAATGAAGTTCACAGGCATTTAATTAAACATGTATATTTCTCTTCATTTTTCTTTCAGTAAATCATGATTTTTCTCATTAACTTGTTAGACTTCCATCCAATCTGGGTTCTTAATTTTAAAAAGCTGTGGTTTGGCTTGCTTGGTGTGTTGTTTACCTTCAGAGAATTGGTGATTTTTCATGGGAATTCTGTCCAGAGCAGAGATCTCCAATTCCTGGGCAATAGACTGGTACTAGTCTGTGGCCTGTTAGGAACTGGACCACACAGCTGAAAGTAAGCGGCAGGCGAGCAAGTGAAACTGAAACCACCCCTCTCCCAGTGTGTGGAAAAATTGTGTCCCACAAAACCGTTCCCTGATGCCAAAAAAGATTGGGGACCGCTGGTCTAGATGATATCCTGCATGGATGCTGTTTCCTTTTCATAAAAACAGCCTTTAAACATTAGTTAGGATTTGTTCTTGGGCCTCTTAATTCTGTTGTGCTGGAAACTGTACATTCTTTGAGATGGGTTATACAACATGCAATGTGTTAGGCACTATTAAACACAAATAGCACTTAAAAAATAAATGACTTCTCCAGATCTTGGTCATGGTAGCTACGAAATATACACTGATAAATTTGATTAACAAAGAGTAATATCTCAATTATGAGAACTATATAATTTTTATATCAATATGACAACTCATAAATCCAAAGGAAAATTTTAATTGAATTTAGGAATGCTGGTTTTTCAGGCTTGCTGTGGATAATGCAGACATGGAGTAAACTGGGCACTCACTGATTTAGTCTATGACTAATCAGCTTAAATTAATGTCTGAGAAAAACCAGCAACAACAGTAGGACTGGAAAGCAACAAAGCAAGGTGCTTCATAAGAAATAATCCTTCCTGTCCTGCTTCAGATAAAATAAATTCTTCTATCTTTTAATAAGCAGACTTGTGTAGCCTGTAGATATAAGTCTACCTTTCTTATCATCTGAATGATAAGAAAATCAAGATATGGGTTCTATTCTTCTGGGCAAAGTGGAAATACAAATTATGTTTTGTCATCTGATCACAACATGTAAGCAGGCTCTCATTTTTCCTAATAGATTATCTCTTGGATATAAGCTTTTATTGCTCTTTTTCCTTGTCACTGGTAGCAATGACTGTCTATATCTGTGCTGGTGGAAGATTTTTATTCAAGGATGATTTTTAAAAAAAGCTGTATTATAATACTATAGGCTTGAGAGTATGATATACTTGAGAGTGTGCAGTACCCATAGCTGATCTAATTTTGAACCCTAGTCATCCTAGGTAAGTGCTAGATCCTTCATTTAGAGAGGAAGCTATGCATGTTGCTGAAGCCCTAATCTCTGAGCATCCGTAATCTCCTTTGCTCTCTTTTTCTTCCTGCTTTTGAGAGAACCCCGGCTGCAGGCTGCATGTTTGCAAGCTTTTTCCTGCATCTGTGAAGACTAGAATCACGAAACTGCACTGGGTACTTGGGTTCTCTGCTTACATGGCTAGCTATGTGTTTGAGGAACGTTGAATATTGAGAAATGTAAACATTGACAAAGAATTTATGGGAGACAAAAGTATTTAGAGTGAACTATGTGTAAATTATCCTGCCTTTTTGTCTTCCTCTCTTCGACAGGGAAATGCTTCCTTTATTGCAATGGCCTCATGGACCATCTCTATGTTTGTCAGAATGGAAACAGCTGCACAGCCTGGTATAAGGCACCCACTCATTTTACTGGCACCTTGGTAAGGCCCACGTGAGAAAGGGCTGAGCCCTCTGCCAGCTAAGGCGATCAAGTAGATTGTGTTTTCCACTTGAGCTAAGAAAATTACTCAGGTTTCCTGTGTTGCCAGTGTGCTTTAAGGGTAGAAACTAGTAGAAGTAATATTTTTATCTCCTTTCAGCACAAGGAGGGAGGACTTCTGCTTATTTATGGGCTGTAAGGTTAGTGGATAGAGTTACTCCCACTGAAGTGTGGAGCTATCTGCCTCACTGGGTTTTTTTTTTAAAAAAAACAACATATACACTATTAGACAATGCTTTTATTTGTTATTTTGCCAGATGCTGTTATTGATTGAAGTTAATTGTTGAGTGTTATTTTTAAAACCATCATGTGGTTATATGCAAGAAAACTGTGAAAATAAATATACATTTACTTAGGAATAGCCAAAAATACAGTGAGGGGAAAAATATTTGATCCCCTGCTGATTTTGTACATTTGCCCACTGACAAAGAAATGATCAGTCTATAATTTTAATGGTAGGCTTATTTTAACAGTGAGACACAGAATAACAACAAAAAAAATCCAGAAAAATGTATTTCAAAAATGTTATAAATCAATTTGCATTTTAATGAGTGAAATAAGTATTTGACCCCTTGGCAAAATATGACTTAGTATTTGGTGACAAAACCTTTGTTGACAATCACAGAGGTCAGACATTTCTTACAGTTGGCCACATCTCAGGAGGAATTTTGTCCCACTCCTCTTTGCAGATCTTCTCCAAGGCATTAAGGTTTTGAGGCTACAATATGGCAGCTCAAATCTTCAGCTTCCTCCACAGATTTTCTATGGGATTAAAGTCTGGAGACTGGCTAGGCCACTCTAGGACCTTTATGTGCTTCTTCTTGAGCCACTCCTTTGTTGCCTTGGCTGTGTGTCTTGGATCATTGTCATGCTGGAATACCCATCCATGACCCATTTTCAATGCCCTGGCTGAAGGAAGGAGGTTCTCACCCAAGATTTGACAGTACATGGCCCCGTCCTTCATCCCTTTGATGCAGTGAAGTTGTCCTGTCCCCTTAGCAGAAAAACACCCCCAAAGCATAATGTTTCCACCTCCACGTTTGATGATGGGGATGGTGTTGTTAGGTCACAGGCAACATTCCTCCTCCTCCAAATATGGCGAGTTGAGTCGATTTTGGTCTCATCTGACCACAACAATTTCACCCAGTTCTCCTCTGAATCATTCCGATGTTCATTGGCAAACTTCAGATGGGCCTGTACATGTGCTTTCTTGAGCAGGGGGACCTTGCAGGCACTGCAGAATTTCAGCCCTTCATGGCGTAGTGTGTTACCAATTGTTTTCTTGGTGACTATGGTCCCAGCTGACTTGAGATCATTGACAAGATCCTCCCGTGTAGTTCTGGGCTGATTCTTCACCGTTCTCATGATCATTGAAACTCCATGAGGTGAGATCTTTCATGGAGCCCCAGACCGAGGGAGTTTGACAGTTATTTTGTGTTTCTTCCATTTGCGAATAATCGCACCATAATCGCTGCTTGTAGCCCATTCCCGCCTTTTGTAGGTCTACAATCTTGTCCCTGACATCCTTGGACAGCTCTTTTGTCTTGGCCATGGTGGAGAGTTTGGAATCTGATTGGTTGATTGCTTCTGTGGGCAGGTGTCTTTTATACAGGTAACAAGCTGAGATTATGAGCACTCCCTTTAAGAGAATGCTCTTAATCTCAGCTTGTTGCCTGTATAAAAGACACCTGGGAGCCAGAAATCTTGCTGATTCATAGGGGATCAAATACTTATTTCACTCAGCAAATCAATTTATAAATGAGTTTTTCTGGATTTTTTTTGTTATTCTGTTTCTCACTGTTAAAATAAACCTGTCATTAAAATTATAGACTGATCATTTCTTTGTCAGTGGGCAAAAGTACAAAATCAGCATGAGATCAAATACTTTTTTCCTTCACTATATGGTAGCTTTAACAGCTTAGACCAGTGATGGCGAACCTTTTAGGGACCGAGTGCCCAAACTGCAACCCCAAACCCACTTATGCATTGTCGGGTGTGGGGTGGGTGTGGCCCATTGGCTGGGTGTGGCTGCGGTGGTAATGGCAAACTGGGTGGGACTAAAAAGTTCAATCAATCAATTCCAACTTTGCAAGATCTTTTTTTTTTCCCGCGAGAAGTTGAAATTGACTCATTGATTGAATCTTTTTTTTTTTTTGCACATGGTGCCAGAGGCCTAAAACGAAAAGGTTTTATAAAACCCAGCTGAAGGCCTAGGACTGGGGCGACGGCGCACGTTCCCACAGAGAGGGCTCTGAGTGCCGCCTCTGGCACCCATGCCATAGGTTCGCCACCACTGGCTTAGACCAACTATCCTCCACCACCAGATGTATTTTCCTATTTAATCAGCATGGGCAAAGCCTGGGCTGCCTGGGAGTTCCAGAAGTTGTAGTGCTTCATGCTTATTAAAATACAAAATGGAACCTAAAGCATCAAAATCCTCTTCAAAGGAAGCATTTATTGTTAAGACCTGGAAACAAGGGGCTTAATAAGAAACCAAGTCAATTTATGTTCTTGCATTTACTGAATTAAGATTACTCACATTCTCCTAAAGAGATGGTATGCCGTTGGAGATGTAGTCTAGCTTATTTGAGAAGCATCCAGTTGGAGAAAGGAAATCTATGAAGCAGAAAAATGGCCCCTTCAATCAGTTTTATTATTTATGTATTTATTTAAATGTATTGACTGCCCAACTCCGACGGACTGGGTGGTGTACAGATCTAGAAAAAAACAGTTAAAATTATAGAATCAAACAGTGCTAATTAAAATAATCTGATAAACAACAAAATCAGAAAAACAAATTGGGTACCTTACTCTCTTAGACTTAGAGTAGAGCCACCTGATCCAGGAAAGAGTGTTTCTGGTACACAGTACAAAGCTGTTCAAAAGCCCTCTTGACATGATCGCCGCCTTCTCTTTGAGCAGGAGTCATGAGTCCAGAAGGACCCCAAGATTGCACACCAGGGGTGTCTGGGGAAATGCAGCCCCATCCAGCATTATAGATGGTAAATCCCCAAATACAGAAGGGCCCCAAACTTAAACCCACTCAATCTTGTAAAGGTTCAGCTGATGTTTGTTATAGAATAGAATAACAGAGTTGGAAGGGACCTTGGAAGTCTTCTAATCCAACCCCCTGCTTAGGCAGGAAACCCTATACCATTTCAGACAAATGGTTGTCTGAAATGTTGTTCCCATCTAGACTCCCACAGCCTCCAGATTACAAGGAAGGATACCAATAACATCACAGCTCACCAGGGGTGCAGATGTATAACTGGATATCATCAGCATACAGATGGTACCTTATCCCATGGTGAAAGACGATCTCATCCAGTGGCTTTATGTAGAGATTAAATAAGACTGGATTGAGCATCAAGCACTAAAGAACCCCACAGAGTAGGAGCTGAGAACTGCGCCTCTCACTTCCAATCAACACTGACTGAAACCAGCTTTGGAGGAAGGACGTGAACCAGTACAACACCATGCTGCTTACTTACCCCAAAGCTGATCCAGAAGGATACCATGGTCAGTGATATCAAAAGCTGCTGGAGGAGGGGTGTCAAGAAAAAAAGAATAGATGTACTTGACCCATCCTGCTTCCACCAGAGATCATATAGATGCATAATCAGTGTTGTTTCTGTCCCATGTATGGGTCTAAACACTCACAGAAGTGCTCCAGGTAATCCATTTCATCTCTTCTCAATAACCTTCCCTAAAAAGAATATGTTGGCAAGCTCACAGGACAGGACTCTGTCCAGTTCCTCAGATCCAAATAGAAATGGAAAACAAGTAGATTCTGGAGATGATGGTCTGGTGCAAAGACGTTTCTACAAGAAAGGTGCTATATTTACTTCCCCTGCACTACTGTTCATAGTGTCCTTCCCAAAGCTACTTCTTTCTTCTTGAAAAATTTCCCCAGATTTCTTTATATTTATTTGTCTGCAGTAGAACAACCAATTTAAAGATGATTCTGCTTAATAGTGTAGCAAATAAACATGTAAAAGTTATAGTAAGAGACCCATTGAAGCCTATTTCCAAGCAGACCACAGAGGAAAGCATGAAAAAAAAAGACCTGCAGAAAGGGGATTTTAAAAATTGCTTTAAACTTTGATGCTTCCAACAAAAAATCAGTGGATTGCCAGAAGAGTGTTGTTTTCTTCTCTAGCTATTCATCCACCTGCATACACTTTTTGATGACTGAAAATGTAACTCTGTTCTAGCTTAGAGTTTAGCAAAATTAGAGTGGACAGACTATGTTTCAAAACACTTCCGATGGTTTTTTTCATGGTAACTTGTCTCTTCATGTCTATACTTTCTTGCTCTTGTTCATTTTAGGATGCTTTTGTGAAGATAATACGGCGTGAAGGTATTCGATCCTTGTGGAGTGGTCTGCCACCTACTCTGTGAGTATGAAGATGATTAAAATAAAAATTCAGTCAACAGAAATCTTGGGTCATAAACTATTACTATCACTGCTTTAAAATATTCTTAACTATTCTCCCTGCCTCCTCCAGTTACTGATTGTAAAAAATCAATTGGGTTTGTAGAATAGAAGGCTAAAATTTTCAAACCTCCACATCTAGAAGCCATAGCCTCACTTTCCAGTAATAGTGGAGGAACTCCAGCTCTTACCACCTATCTTCCAAGTGTACCTCACCTAGCATTTTCTTCTAGAGAAACAGGGCTGTTGCACCCTGTACCAGATAATCCTTGAATTATAACCATAATGGAGCTTGCCCATTGTAGTCCGAAGTCAGGACAACATTAAATGAACTGCCTCAAGTAATGACCAGCCATCCCTGCTCTCCCCCCCTCCAATTAATTGTAAAAATTAAACTCCCTGCCTCCAGTCTATATTCCTTTTAAAAGTTTATCTTGACTCCAGGTTGAAGAGTAGAGGAATGGGAGCAAACAAGGAAATAATTTTTTTCTGCAACTTTTTCCTTTGAATTGAAGGGGAAAAAAACCCAGGAATTTAGCCAACTAAAGACTTGTGCAATAAAATGGAGGTCGCTGGGTCTTTGCAAGGTTTAGCCATTCGTCTGATTACCTGTAGAGGCATTCTGCAGTCTAGTCTTTAAAATCCCAGCTGGGTTCTATCTTTACTGTCAATCTGGCAATTAAAAAGCACAATGAAACAAAAAACGAGAATAATGTCTGTACAACCTCCTAGGTGAGTAGTTTGGAGTTACAGGATTTCAGTTCTTTCTTAAGATAGAGAGCTAAGAAAATGTTACCACAAAAAAGGAAGAGATCAAATATAACCCCTTTTTAAACTTTAAAACCTAAATGCAAATATTCAAGATTGTGGCAAACGAATTACATAGTTGCCCTGATTGAGGCCAACAAAATGCAGAAGAAATGCTGCAGGCCGAGCATAAGATGGCACGTCAGATAGGAATTTATTTGGCAGAATCTGGAAAGAGAGATTACAGGGAGTTCAAATGGTTATACAGTAACTCATTGTAAATATTCATATGCTCAACTCAAAGATTGAGAAAAAGTTGAAATGACATAGAATTTACTAATTTGACTAGAAGCACAATAAAAAGAAACAGACTTAGCAAAGTTATCACAAAAGAAACAGTCCAATCTAAATCCTGAATAGAACCTACAGAGTATCTCTTTCCACAGAAATACTGACTCTTGAAGCAAGATCACGTATTTCTTTTTACTTTCCCTTTTTCCTGGAAATTCCAGTTTCGCCCTGGAAAATGATGTCAGTCTCCCCTTTTCTCAATCTTGGTCTGGCAACTTCTCTTTTGATTCCCTTCTCCAATTCTGCCTTTGTCTTTTTCAGACAGCTAACATTTTCTATTTCCAAGAGTGAGATGAGATCTGTGCCTATGACAAAGGGCCATGGCTTTCCATGGAAACGCAAATTCTGAATCTGCAGTCTCACGAGGAGATATTTATTGAGAATATCAGAGTTCTCCTTGCTGATGAATGGAACTCCATTTGACCTGCATCCAAAACTGTTCCTATATAGCTTCTGAGAAGTTCATTTTCTTTATTCATCTGGAAAGGATCAAGTGGCTCTAGTTTGGGGCAAACTAAAATATTTAATTGATTGCAGCCCAAACTGTATAATGCTCAAACTTTTGAATATCAGAAGACCAGAATTAGGTTCCTCAGAATTACAAGATGTTATCTCTTAGTGCTGCTTGTTGAATTACAGCACTTTTTGTTTTGATGCAAAATGTTGGAGCATGATTTGATGAGATAGATATTAATAATAGATCAGATCTAGTAGAGCTTCTATACGTGTATACATTCTCTTTTCTTCAGAGTTATGGCTGTCCCTGCTACTGTGATCTATTTCACTTCTTATGATCAACTACGTGATTTGTTGCATGTTAAGATGAACAGCCAAGGACACCTTATCCCACTGGTGGCTGGTGCAGTTGCCAGATGTGAGTTTCATCCATTTTTGTATACTTGCAGGAACTGTAGACTTAGCTGTTGCTTGAAAATTGCTTTAAAGCTAGGGGAGCGAAACTGCCCTTTCAAATGCGCATAGCCACTAAGGTAGTGCAAAGCATTTGAAGCAAATATTTTATAAAGTGGATTATAATAGCATGAGTAAAACGTCTTGGAGGTTTTATAGCAGCCACATCCTTTGGAGGATGCATGGGTGCGTGCACAACCATTTTACTTTGCAGGCAGTACCAGCAGAAATGTTGTTTGTGCATAGATATTCATGCAATGAGGGGAAAAAGTATTTGATCCCCTGCTGATTTTGTACATTTGCCCATTGACAAAGAAATGATCAGTTTATAATTTTAGTGATAGGTTTATTTTAAAGTGAGAAGACAGAATAACAACAACAAAATCCAGGAAAATGCATTTCAAAAACGTTATAAATTGATTTGCATTTTAATGAGTGAAATAAGTATTTGACCCTTTCGCAAAACATGACTTAGTACTTGATGGCAAAACCTTTGTTGGCAATCACAGAGGTCAGACATTTCTTGTAGTTGGCTACCAGGTTTGCACACATCTCGGGAGGGATTTTGTCTCACTCCTCTTTGCAATCCTCGCCAAGTCATTAAGGTTTTGAGTCTAATGTTTCGCAGCTCGAACCTTCAGTTCCCTTCACAGATTTTCTATGGGATTAAAGTCTGGAGACTGGCTAGGCCACTTTAGGACCTTGATGTGCTTCTTCTTGAGCCACTCCTTTGTTGCCTTGACTGTGTGTCTTGGATCATTGTCATGCTGGAATACCCATCCATGACCCATTTTCAATGCCCTGGCTGAGGGAAGGAGGTTCTCACCCAAGATTTGACAGTACATGGCCCCGTCCTTCGTCCCTTTGATGCAGTGAAGTTGTCCTGTCCCCTTAGCAGAAAAACACCCCCAAAGCATAATGTTTTCACCTCCACGTTTGATGATGGGGATGGTGTTGTTAGGTCACAGGCAACATTCCTCCTCCTCCAAATATGGTGAGTTGAGTTGATGCCAAAGAGCTCGAATTTGGTCTCATCTGACCACAACACTTTCACCCAGTTCTCCTCTGAATCATTCAGATGTTCATTGGCAAACTTCAGATGGGCCTATACATGTGCTTTCTTGGGCAGGGGGACCTTGCAGGCACTGCAGAATTTCAGCCCTTCATGGCGTAGTGTGTTACCAATTGTTTTCTTGGTGACTATGGTCCCAGCTGACTTGAGATCAATGACAAGATCCTCCCGTGTAGTTCTGGGCTGATTCCTCACCGTTCTCAATGATCATTGAAACTCCATGAGGTGAGATCTTTCATGGAGCCCCAGACCGAGGGAGTTTGACAGTTATTTTGTGTTTCTTCCATTTGCGAATAATCGCACCAACTGTTGTCACTTTCTTGCCAAGCTGCTTGTAGCCCATTCCCGCCTTGTGTAGGTCTACAATCTTGTACCTGACATCCTTGGACAGCTCTTTTGTCTTGGCCATGGTGGAGAGTTTGGAATCTGATTGATTGATTGCTTCTGTGGACAGGTGTCTTTTTATACAGGTAACAAGCTGAGATTATGAGCACTCCCTTTAAGAGAATGCTCCTAATCTCAGCTTGTTTTTCTGGATTTCTTTTTTGTTATTCTATTTCTCACTGTTAAAATAAACCTACCATTAAAATTATAGACTGATCATTTCTTTGTCAGTGGACAAATGTACAAAATCAGCAGGGGATCAAATACTTTTCCCCCCTCACTGTATGTGGACATCAGACTTTAATATGGCCACAGAAGTCTTCTAGAAGATGTGGCCACTTTTAGGATTTGAGGAGAAGTGCTTTGTGAAATGCTTTTGATATTACCTGGGGCTCTCTGAGGTTCCGCAATATTAAGGTCTGTAGGTTTCAAAAACCTTTTTAGAGTAATTTAGGAATCTGATAAGAAGCTGACCAAAAGTACAAGTTATGAACTGGCATTCTGCCATTCAAATCACTTCAGCCTCTCATTAGGTCCTGAGTCTCACTTGCCCATCTGCCATATGATGTTTATATTGACTTATTTTACTAGGGTATTATACAAAACATTCGTGTGAGATACTGTATATGAATCAGATGGAATATTTGATATACTGCTGCTGTATCACATAAGCAGAGATACTAGAAGCAGCTAGTTTATTATTTGCTTTATGCTCAAATGTGCTAATTTTTTTTCTAGGAGATCTGTATCATTACTGTCAGATTCAGCTGTGTCAGAAAAATCATAATTGCTTGCTAGAGACTTCCCACTGAATGACATCTTCAGTAGGAAATTTGTGTGTGCACGCACACGTGTGCATATTGTTTATTTGTGTCAGAAGCATCACAATTAAAATAAGGCATATTGTACAATATAAAATGTAAAATACAAGATTAAAATATGAACAACTTAAATAGATCTTGCTCAGAAACTAGTAACATTAATTGCTGTTTTATCGTGCTTACCATGAAGTCCTCAAACGTACATTGATCAATACTTAAGGACAAGTATATACTGTATATATGTGTGTTGTCTGCATGTCTCCACAATTGCAATGGGCAGAAGCCATCAGATAAGCCCATTTGTTTTGCGTGCCTCTGGATCTTGTTATATCTGTGCACAGTCTATTCAACAAGTTCTGTACTTCTCAGTTTCCACCAGATCCAGTTCCCAGCTCCTTCATTGGTTCCATCCAGTATTGGTTCTTTGTAGCTTTCCATAGGTCTGCTTTTAAATTCTTCAAAGACTTCCATTGACCTAAGGAAGCTTTTCTTGGGTCTTAATCTCTGAGGAACTGGTGGTAGGCCACAGAGTGGGCATGGTCTACACCTATACATGCGTATGAATAATGTGTATCTGCAATTCTTGAAACATTTGAAATGCGAGTGAACGCCCTCTTGATATTCTCCTTAAAATCATACTTATGTCTAAGTGTAGTTTCTATGTTTAAAAGTGGTTGGTGATAGGACTCCTGGGAGATTAAGTAAAATTGGGTGTTTCTATGAAGCACCCCAAAACATCAGTTGCTTTTTATAACCATAATCAACACTGTGCTCTATTAGTTCTCCCAGGTTAATCCTTGTTATCCACTTCATAGTCACTTTGCAGCCTGGTGTTTAGAAAACAGTTCTGGTTTCAGTGGCTCTTTTATCCGATCCAGGGAGACTGCTGAGCCAGGAAAAGATTTAATGCTGAGCTAGATAGCTATTTCATTAAAACTATTGATTTCCTTGGTATTATAATGTTCAGCCACCTAAGGCCTATTTTGGTTTCTGTGCCAGTGGTTTTTATAAAAGAAACCAATCTGCCACCTTGGTATTCTAGTGGGCCCCTTGGCCTGAGGCACAAGGAAGTAGCACTGAGGGATAAAAGTTGGTTTCTCATGCCAGATTGGGTTTTCTTCCATAGTGGGTGCAGTAACTGTGATCAGCCCCTTGGAACTCATACGAACAAAAATGCAGTCTCGTCAGCTGAGCTACCAGGAACTACGTGTCTGCATCCAGTCTTCAGTGGCACAAGATGGATGGATGTCTCTTTGGAGAGGTTGGGGTCCGACAGTGTTACGGGATGTTCCTTTCTCAGGTATGGATTGAAGAAGGGGATCTGGCTCACTAGCACAAGAAGTATTTAAGGAGATGAGAGTGCATTACAAACATAGCTGGAAACACTAAATGGGTATTGTTTTAAAGCTAAAGATCTATCAGTTTCTTAGTTGTTAGCTAAGAAAGTTGTGCAGCTGCCACCTTGAACACTTTAAAAAAGAAATTTGCATACTTTAAAAAAATACAGAGGAATGGGATTACAGTATACGATTATACATATAATAGCAGCCCTGATGATACAGGGTGCTTAAAGTGCAGTATTGAAAGCAGACTTTGATCCTGACGGGGCTCAAGGTTGACTCAGCCTTCCATCCTTTCCAGTTCAGTAAAATGAGGACTCACATTGTTGGGGGCAATATGCAAATAATGCTTCTACCCTGTAGAGAGTGCTGTAAAGCACCATGGGGTAGTATATAAGCCTAAATGCTATTGCTGTTGCTATACAGCCCACAAGAACCCATTTTCACTTCAGAGTTAATCTTCCAGAGTGGTAGATAGAGTTTGCTTAGGTCCCCAGGCCACTCCTGTCTAGGCAGTGGAAGTCATTTCTAACTTTCCCAGTAGCTAGTGAATTAATCTGAGCAAAACTATCCCCAGTGTTACTGTGTCGGTAGAGCTACAGTAACTATACCTTCTCTTTTATGCAGAGAAAAATATAGTGAACTGATATCTAAAACCTCTTTCCGCTTTCCTTATGTTTCTCTTTCTCTTGCTTCCCCGCAGCTCTGTATTGGTATAACTATGAACTAATGAAAGATCTGCTGTGTGGGCAGTTCTGCCTTGATGAAGCCACTTTCATGATCAGTTTTGCAGCTGGAGCCATTTCTGGCATGGTGAGTTCCAGAGCTTTACAGATCTTTGTATAAATGTGAAAACTTAAGACCTACCTGTGATCCAGAATATGCTGGAATTACATGAGCTTTATAATAGGCAGTGGAGAAGAAACTGGGGGCTTTAGATGTAGCAGTGCTGTAATACCCACTGGCTCAGTTAACACAGTAAAGAGGGTTCTTGGGAATTGTATTCTACAAGTTCCCAGCCACTGGACATTTTGGTTAAGCCAGTGGACCAGGCCAATAGCTGAAGGGCCCTTTTACAGATGGGAATCAGTTTTAGTTAATTTTGTGGATCCCATCAGTAGCATCTTCATTTTCATTGCTAAGCAATTCAGCCATTTCTGTCTGGGCCTAGTTTTATTTAGTAAAATTACTTTCCACAACCATTAGGTTGCATTAGAACCTGAATTTTTTGCAGTTAAATTGTGTGGTCCATGGACCACAGAAGCTAATAATATCTTACTTTAAAATTATATTGTTCATTCAGTGATGGAAATCAACACATCTCAATACTTCTTTCTGTTAAAGACATAAGGCTAGTTCTTTAACTGGACACACCAGGAGAAGAAAGTTTCTAAGACTATCATAGTCTGCTTAATATAGTCCTTTGTATCATAAGTTTTTATCAGTTTTAGAAAGGAGCAGGGTGGATAATAATCGATGATTTTTAAAAACAAAAACAAAAAAAATCAGATTTTTTAAATTTAAATCGGATTTTTTTATTTTTATCAAATTTATTTTAATAAAATGCTTTTGGAGTAAAAATATAATTTTCTATTTAAGATACATTAATAATTTAGTTTATTCAGCATGAAATGGAGCTTAGTTATGAGGCTGTATATTCTGCAATATTTACATTCTTGGTAAACTCATTCAATGAATCCAAGCTCTGCAAACTGAGATTATATGCACTGCATTGATGCATTTACACAATTTCACAGTAACCATGAGATAAATCATAAAACAAAATTCAGGAATATTCCTTTATCAGATCATTTTGCAAATCTATGTACACAGCAAACTGTATGATTATTTGAAGAGAAATGCATCTGGCTCTAAGTGTTTTAATTAAATAAAAAAATTGAGTAGTTCTCCAACTATGTGTGATTAACCTATTAACCTAAAATCGCTTCTGATATCGCTGTTTTACTAACCTGACAGCTTATTATTCTAAATAGGAAACCTTCATTTTGTTTGCAAATAATAATATTAAAGATTCTAACTACCATCCAGAATGAGTCTGTCATGGTTCCAACAGATGAAACTCTTCAAAAGAACCTCAAGGCATTGTTACCTTAAAGAATCTTTTATTTGAGAAACAAAGTATCGGCACTACATAGTTGAAACCAGAAACTAAATTCCCCTCCCCTGGATACAAAGTAACAAAGCACAATTCCCTCCTCCAATTAACAGTCATAAATCACATTCCTCAATTAGCTTGAAGCATGTGCTTTCTCCCCAGCTCTCCAGCCCAGCCAAATCTTTATTAACTCTGGGCGCAATAACCTTGGATTCCCACGCTGAGTTTTTATTGTTATGGCTAACTGGACTCTCATCCACATTCCCCCTTCCAGCATCAACTAACTCTAAAAGCAAAAGAATAAAATGGCTGCATTTCCATCTGTTGTCAAAGCAAGAACATCCGATGTTAGCAACGTTGACTGAGTCCTTACATTTAAATAGCACCTGTCATTTCAGATCCATCATGGCAGCGCCTGTTAGCGGGCATTCCCTCACCTACTGCCCACCACATCCCTCACCTTGTTGTGTCACTGCCGCATCACCAGCCGTCCCATTAAAGTGAATGGGACTGTTGGTGAGTCAACAGCAGGTCAGAGGAGGAGCCGCTGCGGGACAGAGATAATAGTTGCTCTTTTAAAATTATGATTTAAATTGAGTTGATTTAAATCAAGCCTTTTTATTAATGATTTAAATCATGATTTGATTTAAATCAAATCCACCCTGGAAAGGAGTATGTAACTTAAATCCTGGCAGTAAATATTTGTCATATCCTCTTTCTCCTTTCTTACCAGAATGGCTATACTTTGCCCTCAGTTTTCACAGTGTCTTTAAGATGAATAGAGTACACTATTTTCAGCAATATGAAGAAGTATTCAAGTTAAGAACCTGAGATGGAGGATGCTATATAAAAAATGTGTTTTCATCCGGTATAAATGTTATATAGATAGTGGCTAACAGAATGTTCTACCTGTTCTCCAGGTGGCTGCTACTTTGACTTTGCCCTTTGATGTTGTAAAGACCCAGCGGCAGATTGAGCTAGGAAACATGGAGACACTTCAAGGTAAGAAGTGAGCAGCTGCCAAGGATAATGGGTAACTGTCGAACAGTAGGTAGCTCCTTTGAACATATATGCCTATACTTGAATTAATAGTGGTGGGAGGAATTTACAGTTGATAGAGGAGAAAAGGATTGAATTTAAAAGTCATAAAGAAAAGAAGAGGCAAACCTAGCTCATTGGCAAGAAAAATCACCTTTAACTTTTGATCAAAAAAGTTTACCTTTGATCCTTATTCACATGTGAAAAGCTGCAGGTAAGAACCAATCAAATTCCATGATATTCAAGTTTGATTTTTTCACAGTTATCTTCTTGGCCAAGTGAATAATTTCCAGAAGGATTACTACTTCTGGTGTAATAGGTACACAGTTTCTTATTCAACAGAGTTTGCCTGACCTTTTGCCTCTTCCAGGGTCCAATCATATTTCTCTAAAGCAGGGGTAGTCAACCTTGGCTCTTTTATGACTCGTGGACTTCAACTCCCAGAATTCCTGATCCAGCATGGCTGGCTCAGGAATTCTGGGAGTTGAAGTCCACGAGTCATAAAAGAGCCAAGGTTGACTACCCCTGCTCTAAAGTATTTGCACTGTGTTTCACAGCATCTAGTAGGACGAATATTTTAGCAACATACTTGTCTGCCCTGGTGAGAACAAGGCTTTTTTGGCTTGATTGTAATTAAAATAATCTCATTAACATGTTATTTCTGTGCTGAAGAAAAAGCTATGTGGCAAATTGAAAAGAAAGAGATGTGTCATTCTGTGCAATTCTATTTTGTAATTTTGAGGTGATGGTTGCATGATTAATGCTATAAAATTACAATACATCCTGTATGATAGAGAGCACAGATTTTCTGAAAAGAAAAGAAAAATAATTCTCTTATAGTGGCCCCACTCTCACACACTCATTTGTACCTGCTTATGTGTAACCTAACATAATGGAACTCATATGAATACAAGCCTGCAAATATGAAAATGTAATATAATAATCTGTATAGCTGTTGATTTGTTCAAAGAATGTATATGGTCTCCTACTTTGAACCCTGCCATTCTGGGAAGCATACAATTCATCAGAGAAACAAAAGAAGATAAATAATTTCAATTAAAATCCAGACCATTAACTAATTCCTGAACTAGGAAGTCACACTCTTATCCCTGTCCATGGAAATTCCATTCATTTTGGCTTCCATTTATCCTGACAAAAAAGCCAATTTCTTTCTGCCTTCCTGAAGGCCCCAGTAGTATTGGGGATGACTATATCTCTACAGACATGCAATCATTGTGGAGAACAAGCTATCGTCTGATTTGTGACATACGTATTCCCGGCAAAAGGAAACAAACATTTTCCATCACCTCTTTCATTACAGTGCTTTGCAGGCTTACTGGATAAATGTCCTATTCAATTCCGTAGAATCCCTTCTTACATTGGATTACATAGAATTGCATTCAGTGTATCCGAAAGGGCCATTGCTACATAAATTATTGCCAGTTTGACTATTTTTCGTGTCAGTTGTTTGAAGGGAAATGTTTAGCAGATAGATTTTAAACTACTTGTTGTTTTCTTCTTGCCCAGTTACCACACCCAAATCCTCATCGACTTGGCTACTTATGCAGAAGATTTGGGCAGAATCTGGCACACGAGGGCTCTTTACAGGTGCCATTATCTAGTTTTATGCTAAAATCTCTACTTTAACCTTTGGGCAAGATGGGCTTCTTGGTGGTGAGAATTATGGCTGCCTGTAATCTTGTACTCTTAAGCAATTCTATAATCATCAAAACTATTATTTTACTTCTTTGCTTTTGACAGTGTTAATGTGGTTTGTGAAATGTCAGTGCAGTCTGACAACTAAATTTAAAAGAAGATAAAAATTCATTTGTGTTTCTGCAGCTGCCATTGCCGGACTGGACAGCTGGCACTATAGGATTCCATTTCCTCATGTCAATCAGGAAGAATGATGAGGGGGGAAGTGGCGGTCAGCTAGGCCCTTCAGCTATATCAGCAAAAAGGCAGGATAGCTTTGCATTTTGCAAGATGTATTTACTTGTTCTCTTTCTCCCTCTCCTGCACTTTCCTTCCAAAATCCATACAGGTTTTCTGCCTCGTGTTATCAAGGTGGCTCCAGCCTGTGCTATCATGATTAGCACATATGAATTTGGCAAGACCTTCTTCCAGAAAATGAACCAGGAACAGCAGTTAAATAGTCTATGAAGCCTATAAACAGAGCTTTGGACGTAGCCTCCAGATGGACCAAAGAAATGCTGATGGCAAGAGAAAGGACACATTTTGGTAGATGCAAAAAAAAAAAAAAAAGGAAAACCCAATTTATTGATAGGGTTGGATATAAATGTGGATCCAGCTGTGAATAATAATCAAGATTGAGAAGACCACATAACCAATAAATCTCTTGCTTGCTTTCCTTGTAGGATTTCTCACTCATCAGGCAAATTCCAGGTGCCTTTAACTAGCTTCTGGTCTCCTGCCTTTCTCTTTTTCCTGATAGACCACCAAGCCTCTTGGCTTTAAACCCTCCCTTCTTTAGGTATTGTCAAGATTGGATGCTATAATGTTTGGCTCATTTGAAGAGGAGAAGCTCCAGAATATCTTAGGTTTAAACCAATTGCATAGTATGATCCTGGTGTGTTGAGATTATTGGCCAGTTGCGAAGGGAAAAAGTAAAAAAAGAGGAGGAAAAAGCTTAGCATTGCTATGCCCCCTGCTTCATTACTATTATTATTATTTTTGATACGCCTTCAGAGAGTAAAAGTTGCTAATAGACAGCAGATGTTTCCATCTCTATTTTAATTTTCAAAGGTTCTATTGGCCTGCATGCTCTTTTTTTTTTTAACCTGACTTTTCCTGTGCATGACAAACATAGCTGTCTGAAGTTGCAATCCTAAGCTGGACTTTGACAGCTTTGAATAGAAATACTGATTTTGAACACTCAGGTTTTGCCCAGCTCTTCCCTTCATACTAACACAAACAGCCTGAACTCGGAAATGTTGAATAGCCTGGATAAAAATGAATTAGACATTCCTGCCCTCTGGTTCAATATTTGCTATATTAAAGGAGAGCTGAGAATAGCAAGCCAAGGTTTTCTTTGATACCAGATATCTTATGTAATATCTTGATATCTTGTCCCTTCTATGGTGTAAATTTATATGCCTGTTGCTTATATATTTGTGGAAAGGGGAAAAGCTGGGCTTTTATTTCTTGAATAAAATTCACTCTTTTTTTTAGCAAAACAACAGTACACATTACTTGACTGTTGATGTGTCTTTCTGTTGAGTTTTTCTTTCCTTGCATCCTCATCAGGTACCCTTAGATTTTATTAGAAAACCCAGGTCACTGTTTTTGAGATCTCAGATCTTTTGACCATGCTATTATAATTTAGGAAGAACACTGAAGAGTATGATTATCTGCTGTTACCTGAAATCTTGGTATGACATTGTCAAAAAAAAAGACCGATGATAAGTTTGAAGAACAAAATAAATTGTTGGAATTGATGTATGAATACAGTAGAACTACAAATAGTTTGATGGGATATAGAGAAATGTAGTGAATCATTTTGAAATAATCTAATTTAATGAGAATGCCCTATTTATTTCCAGTAATTAATTACTTTTGCTTAATTTTTCTTAATACTTCTCTGTGTCTTCTTACCCCATAAGGGAATAGCATGATTGGTAAATTATTTTTAAAAATCAAGCAATGTCATCCAGCCCAATTCAGTGATAATAAAATCTTGTTCCCTGTATCGATAGGATCAAAAAATGACACACACACTGCCATGGGCCTCTGGCCACAAAAAGTATATCCATCCTAGTTTAAGGTCTTATATAAAAATCTTTAAAACTCTTATCTAGTGAGAACTGCCATGATTAGAGGAATGCATTTGATTCCTAAATAAAATGTTGAGTGTTCTTTTACTGGTCTCACTCTGATAGGCTGATTCACTAGATGTACCCATGAATATATTTTATTTTAAGAACAAAGAGAGGAAACTTTGTTTCAATGGATGGGTTTGCAAAATGTGGTAGACCAGGGTAAATTGGAGTTTGCTTCAATATAAGATGTAAACTCAACTGTTGTGTTAGTGTGTTGGATAACCCAGGATGCAATAGGATTTCTTTTTGTCATTTGTGAATATGGGAATGGTGCTTTAAATCAAATTTAGGATATTATGTGTATGTAGATCATATGTCTTTGCAATACCCAGCAGCAAATCATTAGGTCTCTGATAGCGTTGCTTCAGCAAACAGAAACATGACCTTCCTTATCACCACTATGCAAACTGTTAAAATTTTGAGCAGCCCAAATACAGCAGTTGCTGCATATGAGGCCAGTAGATGAAACCACTGGCATGACAGGAATGCAGAGAAATGGATACAATGGCATTATTAATATATTAGAAGTTAAAAGAGAATGTAAATAAGAAAAGTTTTAAGGTATAAAATATATAGTTGATAAGGAAGAACTTATTTTCAATGTATCTAATTTCTGTTGCTCATATAGTTCAGATTTTCCAGATGGGAGGATCTGATGGTGGATAATTTGGGATTTGATACACTACATTCCTTTGGGGCTTCTGTATGATTTCCTTTACTCTTAAACATTTTAATGATTTCTTCGCATCCTACAAGCAGAGCACTACTGCTAGGCCATGAACATTTTCCCTTTGATCCAGCCTTGGTTTTGAGAACTGGTGGTGGTGTATATTGGCTAAGACCAAAAAGATTCTCAGCCTGTGGACTTCAGAAATACAGAAGATAGCCCCTAGTATGAGTTGAATTTATTTAACAGCCATTGGAAATCTTATATGACATGGTGACCACAGGTGCTGTATTGCTGCCTCTGTCGCAGGTAGTGAGCCTCAGAAGATTTACATAAGTCTAATACTGGGAAATGCTGCGCTGGAATAAGACTCTCCTAAATTACCTTGGTAGTAATGGGAAACTATTGAGTTTCGTGCATCTACCATCAGCTTATCAATTGGTCTTGAACAATTCCCCATTCTTTAACAATATGCAGATAATAGCTTATGAGAAGTATGGAAGCTAAAATAGTAGACTGCTTGGTTCAGTCAAGCCAATGTTACACAAACCGTAAGTAGCAACATAGGCTAAGTTTGCAATGCTCATAAACAGCCAGTTTATCTCTCAGTACTCTAAAATGGGAGAAATGTGAATTATCTCACCACCCACATAGACATACCAAAGGTTTTCAGCTATAGTTTTGGAATTTTGACAATACTGTCATTATTACAAGCTTTCTTCCCTTTTGTGTTACATGTAACTGTTGAGACGTGTTTACTTGGAAGGAAGAATGGGAAGACTTAAATTGGTTACTGTTGAAATTGTTAGTGACTGCAGAATTTTAAAACAGCCTGAATTTGTTACCAGAAAATAATCACCAGTAAGCATTGTCTGCCAGCTCCTTAATTTGATTTAATGCCTGTTCGTTCTAACAATTCCACTAGGTGGTACCAGTCAGTTTCTCAGCTCTGGTCAGTGATGATTTTGACTTATCCTGGAGTAGATTCTTAAGCTTGTCTTGCTGCTTCAGATCTATGGCACAGATCAAAAGTCAAGATACAAATATTGGTTCTCTTTCACCTTCCAATGTGTCCATTCCCATAGCAGAAAGTTCCAATGGGATAGCAACATGCAGGATAAACATGTAGGAAGTAGACTCATTCATGAGTGGCAGGACCAAGGAAGACACAAAAATGATTTCTGTGCTGTAAAGATATCCAGGAATCTGAAGTTGCCTTGAATCCCCTTTCTGTAATACAATTAACCAAAACAGATCCTGCGGTTATATTTGAAGTGCGGTGGTGGGCTTAGGATGGGTAATAAATTACCTCCCTTCCCACAGCTAAGTCTTTAGATGCTGTTATCAGGAACACAACCACAGATCATTCTCTTCAATGAAAGGGTATAGGTACAGGACCAGGCAATTTCCTTGTCCATTGTGCAAATCTTCACATTGAACGATGTGCAGCAGATTTCAACTGGTAGATCTTCTTTCTGCCTCCAGCAATAGACATTCAGAGGATTTTTTTTCTTAAATGTTGTTTTGCAGAGGCAGCCACGTTTCGCCAATCTCAACCATATATAATATACATATATACAGCATCATGTCACAAAAGCACTTTTTTATGGACAACCCTTCCACTTTCTGACAAGGGGGTGCTTTCTCTTTTTTTTTTTTTCTCTGTTCCCAATTTAAGGAAGAAAGTCTGGGTTTCTAAGAATATTTTGATGAGGAAGCAAACACATTGCCCTGTTGCATCAAGCTGGATAAATGGTTCAGTTGCCCTTCCCACCTACTGAAATCAAGCCAAAGAGGTTTGACAATGGATGTTTGGTCCACCCAAAATCTTCATTGACGTTTTCGAGATTTATGAGAACAGTCTACCACTGTCTCAGCTGGGACTATGAGCAGGGCTAGGCTCTGTGCTGTCGCTCACCAGACACTCGTTGGATTTTAGGCTAGCTAAAGACTTGCAGCTAGGCAGAGAGGCCAAAGATCCACAAAGGCCCAACATTGACGGAGTTGGGTCCTTTCCTGCAGAGAGAAGAAGAGAGGAATGGCTCTAAAATGAGTATAGACCACCCCTGAGAACATCGCTGGCCCAGACTCCAACAAGGGGTAAAACTAGATTAAAAATTAAAACTTTCCCCCAGAAACCAAAATTTCTATTTTGGTTTAAAAAAGAAATCTTCTTGGCAGGTGCTTAGCGCCACTTTCAGTAATTTATTAAATTATTAATAACTCCTCAATAAAACTATTGAAAGATTAAAAACCTAGAGCTTAATCCAAAAACAGCAGCTGTAACTTGAAAATTAATTACATATTTGTTTTAGAAATAGAAGGCTGGCATTCCGTAAGATGGATGTCCATGTTACTTAAATAGTATCCCTAAAAAAGAAGACTTAAGAATGCAGAACAAAATCATGTTCCTGCAAAGAAGCCAGTCTTCTGTATGTTACTGTTCTGAGTGTGCCTCTTGATAGAGAAAAAAATTTCAAGACAAAATGCAAATAATTTCATCTTGGCATCAATTTGAAATTACTAAATGCTATATCCAATGTTTTGCCCCAACCATCAACTTAAAATGTTTTTAATGTCTTAATAATTCAAATAACAAAAATAATTGTTTTAAGCATAACATATAAAAGGCTACTGAATCTAATATATACAGGGTAGTTTGAACAGTATTATGTAATATATATTGGAAGATCAATGGGACAAGGCAAACCCAGAGGGAGATGGAACAACAAAGGCTATTTTGCTTTATTTCTAGATGTAAAGTCACTGAAAGCTCTATAAACAATGGTTAACAAGAAATAGAACTTATGCTTTGTGGGAGACCACTGTTGTTATTGGAATTATTTCTTTCTTGAAACTATACATTATCAAGAAAACAGATTAGGAAGAATTATTGCATAGTCACAGAAAGCTTGATTTGAGCCAAAACCAAGAATCTGTTTCCTATGTAATATACTTGCCTTGAAAAATATTAATTATGGGACTCCAAAAATTTTCAGAATTGTCTTATCAGAGAGATGGGTGGCTTATACATTTAATAAATAAATTTTCTCTTTGGGAGTCAACATTCACATATCCCCTTTGCCCTTCACAAAATGTAAAGGGCAAAGGGCATGACAAGCTGTAGCATATCTTGTTTTCTAAAGTAAGCCCTTTTGGGGTTAACAAATACAAGGACAATATGGTTGGGTTTGGAAAACATTAAGCCAAATGAAATGACACAAGGACTTTGAGTGATGTACAACTGTATCTGGATCTGTATCTGCGCATGCCTGAAGATGGCGGGTGGCTCCGGGTAGCTCCGTAGCAGCGGAGCTCGAAAGGACGGCAGAGGGGAGATTCGGAGGTCCCCGGAGGTCCGGAGACCCTTTCTTGGGTGACTCTCTCTCCCGGGACCGGGACCCGGGACTTGGGACGCTGGACTCGAGATCTGGGACGCGAGGAGATGCCGGGACGCGGG